CATGCGATCTCCAGCATTATTTCTGTCACCAAGGCCAAATTTTCCAACTACTGGTGATTCTTCTTTGTTTCCAACTTTTTCATTTCAATCACCAGGGATAAACAACACATCTTGATTGCATGTTCAGTCAATTTCAGACTGCAAAAGTTGGTAAAAATCTTCAATTTCCTCATCTTTTTCTTTGTTCTAAATGTACACAAAATAAATATTTAAGACATTTATAAATGGGAGGAGGGCAAAGGGACTTAACAAAGGGAAAGAAGATTTCTATACTTCACTTCAACTGGTAAAATGATGACACCAGTAAACTGAGATCAATTATGTACATGAAAGTATTAACTAGGGCTACCACTAAAATAGTTGTAGAAGAGAGATAATTCAAAAACACTACAGATAAAACAAAATGGAAGCCTAGAAAATGTTTAAGCAATCCATAAGAAGGCAGGAAAAACAGAAAAAATAAGAACAAATAAAAAATTAAATTGCAGACTTAAACCCGAATACATCAATAATTACATTAAATGTACATACTCTAAATAAACTAATTAAATGACCAGTGACAGTGTAGGTTAACAAACAGGACCCAAACTATATGCTGTCTATTAAGAAACTCACTTCTAATATAACAAGTTGAAAATAAAAGATAAGAAGAAGATATATCATGCAAATATTAATCAAAGGAAATAGGAGTGGCTATGTTAATGTCAGATAAAGTAGACTTAACAATAAAGAATATTATCAGAGACAAAAATGAATGGTATATAATAACAAGAGTTAATATACCAAAAAGACACAGCAAACCTAATTGTGTATGCACCCAACCACATGGTTGTAAAACATGTACAGCAAAACCTGATGAAAATGAAAGGAAAAAAAATTACACAAATTCACAATTACAGTTGGAGATTTCAACATCTTTCTAACAATTGATAATACTAGACAGAAAATCAGCAAGGATATAGAATTAAATAATATCATCACCCCACAGGATCTAATCAATACTTACAGAACACTTCACCCAACAACAGCAGAATACACATCAAGTGCCCAGAGAACATTTACGAACACAGACCATAAAATAAGCCTCAATAATTTTAAAAGAATTACAAATGCATTCTCAAACAACTATAGAATCAAACTAGAAATCAGTTAACAGAAAGAGAAGATGAAAATCTCCAAAAAGTTGGAGCTAAACAACATCCTTTTAAATAGTCCACAGTTCAAAGAGGAAGTTCTCGAAGGAAATTTTTTAAATACGCTGAATAAAAACAACAATACAACATATCAAAATGTATGGGACACAGGTAAGCAGTGCTAGGCAGACATTTTTATCACTAACCGCATACATTAGAAATGAGGACAACTCTCAAATAATTCCTGTTCCTCCCATAAATACCTAGAAAAGAAGAGCAAATAATCCCAAAGCAAGCAGAAGCAAAAGTCAATGAAAACAAGAAAAGAAAAAACAATGAAATGAAAAGCTGAGGTTTTGAAAGCAGAAGAATCAATGTAAATAAAAACAAAAATAACAAAGAAAAATCAATGAAACAAAGAGAAATAGCTAGTTCTTTGAAAAGCTCAATAAAACTGACACACTTCCTTTAAGACTGATAAAGAAGACAGAGGGTAGACACAAATTACCAGTATCATGAATGAAGTGGGTGATCACTACAAACCCAGCAGACATCAATACAAAATTTTAGGGGATACTTTGAACAACTCTACACACATAAATCTGACAACTTAAGACAAAACCGACCAATTCCTATACAACACAAACTACTACATCCCACCCAATATGCATCAGATAATTTGATTAGCTCTATAAATATTAAGGAAATTGAATCTGAAATTTGAAAACATCTCTTCCAAAAAAAGAAAAGCATCTCTTTTACTAATCTAGTAATTTACTAGTGAAGTAATCTAGTAACCCAGATTACTTCACTAGTAAATTCTACCAAATGCATAAAAAATAATTAATAGTGTACATTGCCACCAAAAGAAAAAAAGCATGAAACAAAAACCTCTAGAAATTCAGCTTACCACCAATGCTTTCTTATCTACTCTAAACTGTGCAGTAGCTAATCATATTTCGGCACTTTTTTGCCATCAAAGTTTTTCATGAAATTATCCCATTACAATGTTTTTCTCAGAGACAAAATGAACATGGATGACAGCTTAATTGGTATGTTTCTTTTTATTTTAGTGCCATTGCGAATTCAGCAAATTGTTACAAATAAATAATTTTGATTTTCAAAAAAAAGATCCAATTCTACACAATCTCTAAGGAGCTCTGGTAGCATAGTG